AGGGCAAGGATAGTTCACCAGATGATTTTAATGGTTCATGTCACAACCTCTGATAGTCTGATACCTCCATCTCCAACACTGAGCTAGACTTGTTACAGAGCAGGGAGAGGGGCAGCCCAGACTCCGCAAACCTGCTTGCTCTAAATGGGTTCTGCCATCTGCCGCATCAACACAAAACAAATGAGACTTTAATGGGAAGGAACTTTAATACAATTAGGAAACAATACAGGAAAGACAAAGAATATAGTTTCTAAATCAAGCACCCAAAGTTACCCGTCCCCTCATGGGTAAAAGTCCACCCAAGCAGGATTGGCCGAGAACAAGGCCCCAAAGCCTGTCACAAGTCTAAAGAATCTTCCAGTGGGGACCCACAGAAAAGGATCAGAAACTACCAGACAAGTCTGGAGGGAAAAGAGCAAAATCAAAATCAAGACAAAAACCGCCATTGTCACCTCTCTTGGGTGACAATTGTCACGGGTCTCTCACCCACATCTGTGTCAACCAGTCCACGACCAAAAGGCAAGCGCAGTTTCTTCACGTGTCTCTCGGCTCCATGTGCCTCCTCCAGGTCTCCTTCAGGCTCTCCATCCTTTTTCCTTCCTTCCTTAGTCTCCTCTGCAGCTTCTTCTTTCCCTGCTCAGCTCTACCCTCCCTTGGGTGGGGCAGGAAACCTGGAACCTCCCCTTTCCTGGGGACCACCCTGTTACAGACTTGTGAGAATAGTGCTGGGATGGTAGCCTCCTCACTAGGCGTGCTCCCTCCTCTTTCTCTCATATAATCAGATGATCTGTTTAAGCCTAGATCTGATAATATTCATTTTTGCTCCACGGACTCCAATATAAATTTATAATTTACAACTCATCATTACAAAAAACATTTTAAATACACAGAAAAGTGGGGGGAAAAGCACAGGGAACACATATATCCCTACCATCTAGATTCAATAATATCACTTTGCCATATTTCCTTTACATATATGCATGTATATTGAGTCCACGCTCTTGAACACAGTTTTTAAACTCTGGATGTTTAGAAAACATGACTTAACCAGCTTCATTTCTCTTAGCTCCCCCTTTGTAATTTACACCCCAGTCATACCTAACTTCTAAATCTTAGTTCTCTGGTATGCTCATACTGTTGTCTGTGCTTAAATATCCTTACTCTGTTTGCTTGATCAATTATGTTTTCTTAAAGATTCAGCCACACCTTTGTTGCCATAGGTCTGTGTGATTTTTTCAGCCATGACATTTATTACACTGAACTGTTATTGCCTGTTTACCTCTCCGACTTTCCCACTAAACTGTGAACTCATTGAGGGCAGGGACTGCTATTTTTTTTCTTTTGGTTTCTATACCTATGCCCCTCCACTGTCTTACATGTTTAATAATCAGAAAATCAACGGCCTGCCACATAGTTTTACCTAGTTACATCACAGGTAATTCAAATCAGTATGTCTGATGGAACTCATCTCTCTTCCCACCCCTTCGAACACACTAAAACCCCTTCCTCAGGGCCTTCCTGGTGGCGCCGGGGTTAAAGACAGCACTATCAAGCTGTCTTGCCAGGGAGCAACCCACATGGCGCAGTAGACCTCTCCTGACTCGCCTGCTGCTCCCCTCAACAGTGTGTTTCAGTAGATCTGCCTGTTCTGTTCCCCACTCTCTCTGGTGAATCCTCCCACCTCACGCACCTCTGGCCTGTACCCCAGTTCTTGTATGCATAAATAAACAAATTAAAAAAAAAACCCTTCCTCTGATTAAATGCCATCTAGACTGCCAAGCCAAAAACCTCGAGCAATCCCTAACTCTTCCCTCTCTTTCATCCTCCAAACAAGTCCTAGTAATTCTACCTTCAATATATATTCCCAGTCCTTCCATTTCATCTCCACTACCTGTCTGATCCAGAGCACTCTCACCTGGAGCACTACCAACAATCCAGGCTCCCTGTTTCTACTCATGTTCCCTGTCATCTATTATCCACAGAGAAAACATAATGATCTCTAAAATTCAGATCTGCTTATATCACTCCTTGCTTAAACCCTGATTAATTATTTCTTGTTTTTTGTTTTTTGTTTTTGTACAAAGTTCAAATGCTCTAGGTTTAGCCCAAGGACAGTAAATGAGCCCTGTGTACTAACCTAACTTTAACTCTGGGGTCCAGCCATTTTGTTTACAGGGTCTTTAATGCTTATTGATTCCTACCATTTTCAGGTTCATGTTTCAATGCCTTTCCTTGTATTGTTCTCTGCCTAGAAAGGCTAGCCTGCGCAATCTGAGCACAGGTGTAACCCCATTCTGGGAAGCTTTTCCTTACTTTCTAGTCTGGGTTAGGTTCCTCTTCTCTATTACCAACTGTTGCCCTATGCCTGCATATATCATTGTGCTTACACTAATTACATAGAGCAGTCTATAATGCAATTGTCTGTTCACTCATCTTAACAAAGCTAATTTATGAGCTTTTGGAGAGCAGAGATAATGTGTTACTTGATATTGCATCCCATGGCAGGCATGTAGTTGCTGTGCTACATATAAAAAAGAATGAATAGGGCCTCCCTGGTGGTGCAAGGGGTTAAGCACCGCACTATGAAGCAATCCACAGCCTCTGCAGCATGAGTTTGATCCCTGGCTGGCCAGGGAGCAACCCACATGGCGAGGCAGACCCCTCCTGTCTCACCCGCTGCTCCCCTCAGCAGTGTATTTCAGTCAGTCTGTCTGTTCTGTTCCCCACTCTGTCTCTGGTGAATCCTCTCACACACACCCACCCCCATCTCTGGCCTGTACCCCAGCTCTTGTATGCATAAATAAATAAATAAATAAATATTTAAAAAAAAGAATGAATAAACAGTAACAAATTTTATTTTTGTAGAACTTTGTAAAAGATCTTTTTTCTTTTGGACATAGAGGTAATATTCATTGAATTTTGAGTATTCGGCAACAAATTCAGACAATTCCTGGAATTGTACCAGGAATTTTATCTGAGACATCATCAGTAGTTGGGGGGGGGGTGCCATGCAGTTGGCTCCATATACAAACTCTTGACCTTTAAAGTCCCTTTTAATACCTAGGGTTCGTGTTTCAGAGAATTGCCCATTTATTTGGCTTCTAGGTGCTGTTTGGTTATGGTGTTTATTTTCCTCAAAGTTTCTCTCAAGCCATAAGAATAACCAGAGCAGAATTTTCATGTTTAATCACTGGGAATAATACTGATTAAGCAAATGTTCAGCCAGGGACTGAGGATTATGACCGATCAGTAATTTAACAAACGTTGGCCCAGGTGAAAACAGATTCCATTTTTTTAAACTGAAATAAGTGGTCAAAAGTGAATAATCATGAACGCCATTTTCTCTATTTCCTCAAAGGAACAACTTTAAGATTATTTTGAAAGCTTGGGCCCCTGAGCATGTTTGATAATAGTACCTAACAGATACAATTTTTATACTCTGCTAAGCACTGTTCTAAGTGCTGGACATGTATGAACTCATTTCATCAACTGAACTGTGAGGTAGATAATATTTTTTTAAAGATTTATTTATTTATTTATTTATTTATTTATTTATTTATTTATTTATGCATACAAGAATTGGGGTTAGAGTTAGGCCAGAGGTGTGGAGGGTGGGGTTAGAAGATTCAACAGAGACAGAGTGGGGAGCAGAACAGGCAGACTGACTGAAATACACCGCTGAGGGGAGCAGCGGGTGAGAGACAGGAGAGGTCTGCTGCGCCATGTGGGTTGCTCCCTGGCCGGCCCGGGATCGAACTCATGCTGCAGAAGCTGCGGATTGCTTCAAAATGCTGTGCTTAGCCCCTTGCGCCACCAGGGAGGCCTGAGGTACATGGTATTATTATCATCCCCACTTTACAGATGATTAGGAAATAGAGGCAGAGAAGTAATTTTCCCAAGGTCAGAAGTTAGCCATAACTGTTAGACACCAGGTGTATTAATTCTTTTTAGTCCAATGCAGATTTAATGAGCACCTACTAAGTGTAATAGTTTGACAGGGTAGATGAAGTCGACATGCTTAAAGTAAGAACAGATCATAATGCAGTAGCGCTGTGAGTGAAGTGCACGTAAGTCAGACTCCTTTTAGTCAGTGGGAAATGCAGAAAGATTCTGTCGTCTGTAGGTCATGCGTGGCGCAGCATATTCGTTTGGGTAAACCTAGTTTGTGGAAGCTGAAGAAAAGAGGCTTAGCTTTGAGATGTGTGAATTGGTCATTCTTTAATAAGGACGGAGAATACTTTTATATGGGTCATCGGATGCAGTATATTTAAGATGGGGTAAGGGTAAAAAGGGAATACACAGACATGACGCTTGCTTGCAGCAGTAAAGAAGGTTAAAAAAAAAAAAAGGTAGCAACACGCTCTACCCTCCTCCTCCCCTCCAGAGAACCAGTAAACAGCCAGTCCCCAGCACCACCCGGGGATCCAAACTCTCTTGACCGCCACGCAGAGTCTGCAGAGGTGCGCTTTTTAGAAGTACTTGCGGATTCTGGCGCTCGGAAACGCCTTTAGGCAAACCTTAGGAAGGAGAAAACGTCTTCTTGCCACTCAATGCGGACTGTCATTCTCGCGGGGAGCTCCGCCGCTGGCAGATCCTACCGTGCCTCGCTTGTGCATTTTTCCTAAAAGCACGCGAAACACCTGGCTACTCTGCCTCGATCCTCCGCTCAAGCCTGACCATCTCGTTACCCTTTTAAGAGGCGGATCCCGCAGTGTCCTTGCCTCCCTTCCCGCCACCTCTACCCGAGTCGGCTGGGCGGAGCTTCGCGCGAACGCCCGGAGCCCGGAGCGGCCGCGGCAGTGGTGAGGAGAGCTGGGACGCGCAGGCTGCCTCTGCCGCAGCATCGCTCCGGACGCTCCGAGCCGGTCGGTGGGACCCGGCTGGCCGCGCCCGCAGCGTCTCCCCGCCGCGTCCCCACCTGGCGCGCACCTGGGCCCGGCCCGCTCCGGCCCAGAGCGAAGAGGGCTCTACCCCGGGCGGAGGGAACCGCAGCGCGCGCCATGGGGCCGCCGCCCGGGCCGGGGTCGCCTCCGCCAGGGGCTGCGGGGTGGCCCGCTGGCTCGCGTGGTGCTTCCTGCTGGCTCTGAGTCCGCACGCCCCGGCTCCCGCGGAGCCGAGGCGGTGTGGACCGCGTACCTGAACGTGTCCTGGCGGGCGCCGCACACCGGAGTGAACCGCACCGTGTGGGAACTGAGCGAGGAGGGCGTGTACGGCCAGGATTCGCCTTTGGAGCCGGTGGCCGGGGTCCTCGTCCCTCCGGACGGGCCCGGTGCGCTGAACGCCTGTAACCCGCACACCAATTTCACAGTCCCGGGCAGCTCCGTGCAGGTCTCCTGGCTGGCCCTCATCCAGCGCGGCGGGGGCTGCACCTTCGCAGACAAGATCCATCTGGCTTACGAGAGAGGGGCGTCGGGAGCCGTCATCTTTAACTTCCCGGGGACCCGCAATGAGGTCATCCCCATGTCTCACCCGGGTGAGTGCAGCTACCGAATGACGCCCCTCCGGCCCCCTGCCCAGGCCCGGCTCTCTATTTTCCACCGCGCTTTCCTCCCCGGCCCCTTGCTCCAGAGGAGGATCCGTGCCCTCTCGTCCCCCCCCCAACCCGGGCGAGGCAGAGTCCCCTCCTCTCGGAGAGTCACTCTGCGTGGGGGTTGGGCGGAAAACCCTTCCGAATTTGCGTCCCTGGTGAAAAAGGGGAAGACAGACGGAGTGCAGAGCTGGCAACTCGGGACTGTGTGGGCTCTGACGTCGCCTTTTCCTGGTGTTTCACCCGAGGGGTGGGGGAGTGGTGGGGGGTGAGGGGGGTGGGGATGGGCTCGCCAGGGATTACGTGGTGGTGGGCCCGGGCTTTGAAATGACTGGGGAGAAGACAGCCTGCAGACCCCTTCCTCACTCTTTTCCAGTTTAGCCACCTCAGGCCCGCAGCAATTTTTTTGCTTCTGTCTCCCTGTTTTTCTCTCCCTGTTTCCTAGTATCAGGTAGAAGATTGTGTTACTGTGCCCTGTTAACCTCATTGCAGTTTTGGTGGAAACTTTGCTACTTCTCTGCCCAGGGATCTCAGTTCCCAAGTGGATTGTTGATGTGGGTGCTTTCGTTCGCTCTTAAAAATAATCTGATTTCAGTTGAGTTGTGAAACAGGTGATTAGTGTTACTGGAAAAAGAGAAGAGGTTTATACATGACCATAGCAAAGGCCTAGACTTTGGGAAAAGTATCCAGACGGGTCTTCAGTTTATGGAGTTGATGTGGGTTGCTGTTTCTCCCTCTTCAGTTAAGCTTACAGAAACCTTCCTATTTGTGACTGAGGAATCTATACCATATGAATATGGTGATCTAGACCCCAAAAGTCAAAGAAAAAAAAAAGTAGGAGAGAAAATGGAAGAGTCATAATCGCTGTGTGTCATGGTTGTTAAGAACTGGGCCTCAAGTCAGATCTTGGTTACATTCCGACTCCATTGCTTTCTAGTCCTGTGACCTTGGGCAACTTATTTGAACCTGGGTTCCCTCATCAGTCAAACAGGAAAGAACTACCCCCACAGGTTGGCCTTGAAGGTGAAATGAAACAATGCCTGTAAAGTATTTAACACCTCATCCTTCTCAGGAAAGGTTGGCTGATAACATTAGCATTTTAGGAGTCATGGGAGAGAATAATCTGCTTGTTTAACTATCAGAGGTTTTATGTTTTCCCTCAAACACTATGTCTGGCCTTGCCTAGAGAGCACTTTGGCATAATGGAAACAGTTCTGAACTGGAACCCAGGAGATTTGAGTTCTTTTTAGTCCCTTCCTTGTCTCTACCAGCATTGTGACCTTGTACAAATTACTCACTAGTCAAATGATAGTATAGAGGTGGAAAGTGGAGGCCAAGTTGGCAGTGTGTAGAAACCAGAGTGAACTACATGAACTCTAAGGTCCTTTCCAGCTCTAAATTGCTGTGAATCTTAGATTTTATATTGATTAAGGGAGCAACTTGATCTCTTGATCAAGTTGGATAATTCATTGATTAGAATGAAATTGCTTTTCAAAGGCTAATAAAAAGGAAGAATAAGGACTTGGGTAAACTTTTAAAATTCTCACATTTCTATTGACTTCCTAAGGGCAAAGGTTTGTCTCCTCCAAATGAGATTCTTTAGCATGAATGATGCCAAGTTGAAGATTGCTCTTTAGTTACAGAGTTCCTATTTAGACTGCTTTCTTCCTACTTCTATTAAGGATGTATACTTAAATTTATCTGATAGTTTTCGAGGACAACAAAACTAATTTTTGTTGCGTTCTCACTATATGCCAGGCACTCTACATTTATATCACTTATACTTCAAGAGACGGTATGATGTAACATAAAAAAAGCACAGGCGTTATAGTCAAAAACGGTTATCAACTTACAGGTTTATACATAAAAGCTTTGTGACCTTGATTAGATTATTGAACTTTACTGAGTTTCAGTTTCTTTATCTGTAAGATGGAAATATTTACATTGCTGTGATTTGTTAAGGCTAATAGATGTGAACTACCTAGCAGATGATAAAGTTTTTATGACAATAGATTGATGTTAACAAGAGGTGAAAAATTAATATGCAAATATATTTTTGCAAATGTCAACTTACAGACATGAATATACTGTGGATCTAATCCTGGCTTTTTTGTTTCAGGATACCATATAGAAGTAAAACCCTAAATATTGATCACTTAATTAAACTACATTCAGAAAGGTATTTTGATACCTTAAAAATTTATCTCTAAGATGATGGCTTAGCAAACTTTACTGTTAGGCTAACTAGTTTTAAAAAGATAATTCCTTAAGGTATGGACTCGCATTTTTCCCTCAAACCCCTGAAGAAACTACTTTTCCACAAAGGGGAATATCACTTTGCAATTCATCCTGGTTTTTGAATATTTGTTTGCAAAGTGCTACAGTGTTTACTTCGTTCATTCCTGAGAGTTAGCCTGGGGTTCATTGTAATCTCTGGTCAAAATGGTTTATCGTGGATGTTAGTGGCAGAGTGATTTAAGTGTTGATTAACTCAGTATATATTATTGTGAATTACACAAGGACCACCAAATGTAGAAAAGCCATTGCTGTCATTTTTGTTTACAAAATCACCCTGCACCCACTCTCACAGGGGCCTGTGCTTGAGTTGTCATTTGTTCAAGTTTGTGTTGAATATCCATACTCTCATTTATCATAATCCTGTGACCATGAAGAGCCCACTTATTTCAAGTAATGTAACTAACTGGATTAGAACAGTAGCTTTAAGACTTTTGTTTATTGAAGAAAACCATGTAAGAACAAATTGGGAAAGGCTGTTTTTATGTACAGCGAAATGTCACAAAACATAGTTATTGCTTTGCGTCAACCTGTGTAGTGTCTTTCCCTATATTATTTTGGTTGCAAGGTATTCAGAAAATCTTGATCCATGCAGATAAATAAATACAAATGATAGATGTGTGTTAAGAACTTGTCTTGCATTCTCTGGATATTTTTCAATCAAATTGATCTAGAAACCTGGAAGAAAATGAGGAGAAAAATTTGGTTTCAAAGTTTAAATGCCATTCATAGGACTTATCTTAAATATGAAAATCAGATAAGAAACATACTAAACCAGAGCAGGCACTATGGCCACCTAAAATGTAGGATTATCACGAGGAGACTTGCATGTTCTTGTTATTACACAACTAACTGCTCTGCTTTGGCCAAGCAGATGGGACTTAGCCTCATGTGCTGTCTAATTGAACCCATGGATTGAAGTGGTGTAGGTACTTGCTTGTACAATATTCCTTGAGTCAACATGTGCAGGCATGCTCTTATGAAAGACCTGTACAGGGCTACAACCTTCATAGTACATGACACATTTACAAGCGCTTGAAACATATTCAAAGGGATGGCAGGCGAACCTTTCTTCCTGAGGACTGTAAAAAAATGAATGGATCAAGCAGTTTACATTAATTATCTGGTGGTCTCCCATAGGATACAGTTTGATATATGAAACAGTTTGTGCGCATTATTGAAAGACAATATTAAAAGTTGGGTTCTGCTACTAATTTTATTTTTTTTAAGATTTGTTTTATTTATTTATGCACACAAGAGCTGGGGTGTAGGCCAGAGGTGCAGGGTGGTGAGGGTAGGGTGGGTGGTACTGAGACAGAGTGGGGAACAGAACAAGCAGATCTACTGAAACACACTGCTAAGGGCAGCAGTGGGTGAGATAGGAGAGGTCTGTTGTACCATGTGGGTTAGCTCCCTGGCCAGGGATAGAACTCATGCTGCAGTGACTGGTGATAGCTTGATAGCACAGAGACTTTAACCCCTGTGCCACCAGGGAGGCCCCTTACTATTTTTATATTATTATTTATTTTTTTAAAGATTTATTTATGCATACCAGAACTGGGGTACAGGCCAGAGGTACCAGGAGTGAGAGGATCCACCAGAGACAGTGGGGATCAGAACGGACAGATTGACTGAAATACACTGCTGAGGGGAGCAGCAGGTGAGTCAGGAGAGGTCTCCTGTGCCATGTGGGTAGCTCCATGGCCAGGGATCGAACTCATGCTGCAGTGGCTGGGGAAAGCTTCATAGGTTGCCTCTTAACCCCTTGCTCCACGAGGGAGGCCCCCCTTACTATTTTTAAATGACAACTTAGGCCAGTTATTTTATTTCTCAAAATCTCTGTTTTCTCCTATGTAAAATGTACACAATAATAAAATTGCCTCATAAGATTGCTGGGATTAAATGAGATAATACAGATAAAGTGTTTACTATAATGCTTGGCATAGAGGAAGCTGCAGTTAAGATATATTAATGTTTTCTAGAAGATAAAAATTGAATCCTATATTTATAGTATATAAATCAAAATGAATAGTCTAAAGTACTTCAGAGTTCACATTTCCCCAAATCCTAACTTTAACCCTTTAGGAAAAAGGTGAATAGACTGAATTTTTTTAAGGATTTATTTTATTTATGCATACAAAAGCTGGGGTGTAGGCCAGAGGGGGGGGGCATGTGGTGGTGGTGAGAGGATTCACCAGAGACAGAGTGGGCAGCAGAACAGGCAGACTGACTAAAATACACTGCTGAGGGGAGCAGCAGGTGAGACAGGAGAGGTCTCCTGCACCATGTGGGTAGCTCCCTGGCCGGGGATCCAACTCATGCTGCAGAGAATGGCAATAGCTTGATAGTGCTGAGATTAACTCCTTGTGCCACCAGGGAGGCCCAAATAGACTGAATTTTTTTATAAGAAAATAAACTTTTGCTTCAGCTGTGTTTGTCATTCACATCTCTTCTCAACTATTTTCCCTCTCAAGCTAATGGTCTTCTTTCCGTTCACAAAGGACTTAGGGAGTAGTATTTTACACTGATTTATCACCCTCCAATCCCTTCTAGACCACTTGGCATTGCTTCTTTATTCTTCCCCTCCGCCCCCAGGATGTTGACTTTGAAGAGAACTTTTTTTTTTTGATAGTAGAGTGAGAGGTTCAACA